CCCCCCGCATGTCACAGTCACCCCCTCCACGGGTTGGAGGTGGAGCTGGGAGCAGGATAAGAGCCAGGGCTTGGTGGGGAGCAGGGCAAACCCCCAGCTTGTGGTCCCTGAACCCTGGGAACATTGTCTGAACATCGACGGGACTAGGACCTGCTGGAAATGGTAAGGCTGCGCTCTTCAGTGGTGCTTTCCAGGGGGCTTTTAGCTGAGAAATGGATTACAGGGGGTTGGATGCTTTTCATTACCCACTTCCCAGCCAGTTAAACAGCCTCTGGCTGTCTGCTCCGGTACTTTCCGAAGGGTTTCACACTGGAGATGGGTTGCAGGAGCTTAGATGTCTTTCACTGCCCTTCTTCCAGCTGGGCAAACCCTGCTGGGCAACTGATTTAGGGGAGATGCAGCCATACAGCAGGATTTTTGTGGGGGTTCCCCCTGCATCTGGTCTGACACCCACCCTACAGCACAGCACCCTGACCCCCACCCTGTGGCACAGCACCCGGCATCCCCCAGGGTCCTCCCTAGGAAGGAAGATGCTGAGGCTCGGCACAACTCAGTGCACATGGCCAGACTCATGATGCCCACCAACGCATTGTGTATTTTAGGCCAAGCAGCTCGTGTCCCTCCTGGTGGGGTGGCTTTTGCCCCAGAGAGCCTGGTAGACCCGTGAGGGATAGCATCTGCTGGGGAAGGCGTGGGAGGGAGGAAAGCCCCACAGTCTGCACGGCTTCAAAACCCTGGGGACGTCAGCTTCCCTGTCCAAAGGGCAGGTCTGGGCCAGAGAGCAGCTGCTGTCTCCGGGTAGCCACCCTGCCCCAGGTGGGAATGCCCCTTCCCCTGGGTGGCAAAGGGCTGGAGGGTGTGAAGTGGAGGGGATGGCCAGCATCCAGCCAGGGGCTGTGGGAAAGGACAGGAACACCCAGCTGATTTGCTTCCCACAATCCCTTCAGCCTTCCCAAAACTCTGCTCCATGCAAAAAGGTTAAAATCAGGGTGGAAAACTGAAGAATCCCCAAAAGGGAGGTGAGTCTCCACTGCCAGGCATGGCCAGCTGGTGAGAGGGACTGGGGGGGCTCTGCATGTGGCACCCCAGTGGGGACACGTCCTGCCGTGGCAGCATGATGGGGGGGGGAAGATGCTCAGCAGTGACCGGCTGCTCCCCACAGGCACTCCCAGCCAGGCCACGCTGCAGGATGCTGCTCACCTTCCTGGTGGTCCTCGGGGTACCGGCGAGAGCCTGGAAGGGGCTGAGCCCCGAGCAGCTCCCACTGGCCCCCCAAACTGGGGATGGAGGCAAGTTGATGAGACAGGAAACCACCGGTGTTAACAAGATGCTGCCAGGTCTCCTCGAAATGAGGAAGGACAACCATGAATCTGGGGCAGCATCTCATCTGGACAAAGCCAGCCTGCCACTGCTAGAGGAGTCAGCAACAAAAGCATTGCCCTGGCCGATGAGCCCGGGTGCCAAGAGACCTGCTCCTGCAAAAAAGGTGAGAAAGGTCTCCCTGTCACTTGATGTCCCCACCCATGTATTGAAAATCCTGCTCGACCTGGACAGAGAGAAGGAGTTGCAGGCCAAGGCGGCTGCCAACGCTGAGCTGATGGCCCGTCTCGGGCGTAGGAAATGAACCTCCCAGGCTGGGGCACGGCTTCTCAGCCAGGGTTGGAGAGGGCAGCAGGGCTGCTGGGGGACACGGGCAGAGGAGAGCAGGGGGTGGCATCGGTATGCCCACAAGGGACCATGAACACGGCACCTCATCCCCTGGGTCCTGATGCCCATGGCAAAAGCAGCAGCTATGTGAGGATTTGGTTTACTAACTGTCACCTCAGCACCACCAGAGAAGATACAGCTGGGTTTGCCTTTGCTGGGGCCAGTGCCAGCGCACAGTTGGATTGCAGCCCTGGCACCACCAGGATTTCTGTGCCTTACTTCTCTCCCCCGCTCACCCGCCACTGGGATGTCTCCAAAAGGGCTGCATCCAGCCAGGCAGGTTTTCCCTTGTGCCACCTCTCTCTGGGTGGCTGCAGCACATAAAATCCTCTGCGAAGCTCAGCTGAGCCTCAAAGCCAGAGTTGGCAAACTTGCACAATAAAACATGGCATCAGACATGACTTATGGTGGTTTGTATCAGTCCTGCAGCCCTGTAGACCCCCATTTTGTGTTCCCTCTCCCCAGAGCTGCAGTGGGGGCACATCCCAGGCCAGGGCTGGCACCAGAGTTCATTAAACCCCAAATGAGAGGTGTCAGCCCTTGTACCAGCAGCAGGCCTGGCCCCTAGCCCAGGGTTCCTGCAGCTGCTCTAGGCCAACGGGGACATCACGTTGTGCCTCCAGAGCCGCCGTCTTCGTCAAGACTGGGAGATAAGAGCAGTGTGAAGCAGAGGGCGGCCACCCCGTGCAAAGTACAGGGCGGCGCAAGCAAGGCAGAGCCTGGGGGACGCCTGCCACGCAGGCCGCTGGAGCTGGTGGGGGACATGGCCATGCTCTTTGAGGATTACCTCCCGCAGGGTGAGTGCAGCCCCTTTGTCTTAGAGCAGGCACTGGCTTTGGGAAGGGGGCAGAAGCAATCGGGGTGACCCTGCGCCCCACGGGAGGGATGTATTTTTGTAGCCAGTGAAGGGATGTGCCAGCAGGTGGGTGGGTTGGGGTGGGGTGGCAGGGTGGGTAACAGGTCCTTTGCCTTCCCCACCTGCCCCAGGGCCCAGGCGATGCCTGGGCAGCGCTGGACCCCATGGACACCCCACTGCAGCAGGTGGGTGCCATGGGTCAGGGCTTGGGGGTTTGGGGTGCAGGGTAGAGATGGGGTGCTGGCGGCAGTGGGGACATGGAGCACAAGAGGATCTGATCTGCCGGAGACGGTGTGTCGCAGCGGGGGTGCTCCGGGGCAGGCAGTCCGGGGAACAACTGCCCATCCCCAGGAGGGGGTTCTCCCCCACCATGTCCCTCGTCCCCCGGGGCACTGAGCCCCTGCCAGGATCTCCCCCTTCCCATGTCCTGGCACATCTTCCCTACCCGAGTCCCAGCGTCCCGCCCTTCGCTCCGGTCCTCCCCCAGCCCCGGTGCCCCCCAATCTCCCCAGTGCCCCGCTGACCTTCCCCGCGCTCCCAGGGTGTCCTCCTGCCCGGTGTCCCCCCAGGGACCCCCAAAGCCCAGCGTGTCCCCCCCATGCTGCGTCTCCTACAGTGTGTCCCCTGGTACCAGTGTCCCCCCACTCCCAGTAGCCCCCGCCAGTCCTGCCCCAGGCCC